AGTGGCCATTACTAGATGTATGTTATTACTTTACTATTTCCTCACTTTTTAATAAAATGAAGTATAGTAATATAAATACCAAAAAGTGCAATTTATTTTTTATTTAATTAAATATCTATTTTCTTAATTTTTCCTTTTAACGTTAAATTTTTGCTATTATATGCTTCATAAGCCGACCGGCCTGTGTTGGGGGCAGGGAACTGTCCTTGCATCAGAAAGGTTCTGGGTTCGAATCCCAGGCAAGGCATGGATGTTCTTTCTTTCTCTGTACTATCTGTCCTCACTGTGGGAGTGACGTATGCCCACCTAATATGGTGCCCTTGAAAGGGAGGCCAACAAAATCGCCCTGTAAATCCCTGAATTGACGGATGTTAACACAGGTGGGCATTGGAAAAGAAAATACTTCATAAAATAAGAAAAACTTTATAATTAATTTTATAAAAACAGTCTGTTCAGTCCGTGTTTAATTATGATTATCAACAAGGGATATATTTATAAGAAATAAGATTGTATTAGCATCAGTAATTTAATTTATGCTGAACTATTGCTTCTGTTATTGCAATTGCTATTTTTTTTTATAATCATTAAAAAAATCATAAAAATAACTTAGTTATACATCAACGTTATCATATTATATCTTGTATATTGAAATCAAATGAGTTAAAATGAATAAATAAGCATATTTTGGAATCTTTAGGCTTTACTTTGAGAATTCCCGACGAATAAATAGACAAAGAATTTTTATAACCAATAATAGAAAGAGTATTTTTTTCCCCAATTGAGTGTGATTATGTTAAAATGTTTTTAAATTAAATGTAAAATGATCAGAACTTTTTTTCTCCAAAATTATATAAATAATTCTGTGTTACATACGAATTCCATAATTATAAATAATAAAAGTTTGAGAATAAAATTAGTAGAAAATTGAAAGAAAATATTCCTCATTGGTGTGTATACTAACATTTTTGTCAATTATTGACAAATTACAAAAAAAAGGCACACAGAACTTAAATTTAAATATTAACATTTCGAAAGTTTTGTTAATTGTTAGTTAGTAAAATTGCAAAACAACAGCAAGCATCACAGCCAAATTAAAATAAAAAATAATAATCGAGGTCCGATATTTATTCTCCCTTACATAATTTAAGATTTTAAATTAATATTACTATGCATGTTAATTGAAATGAACAGTATCTAGTACAATAAATAAATTTGAAAAAATGGCAAAGATTAATCAAGGACTAATATTTACTCTCATTTTTATCACTTAATATTTTCGACTTATTCGTTAAGTCATAAAAGTCAATCACAGATAAAGGTCTCGGAGGTGTAAAATGTATGACTCATTCTTAATTAAGTTGAAAAATGACGGAAGATATCAAGAATCGGAGAAAATCTGATAATTCTCTCATTTTATTACGTGTTCGATTATAATAATTGGTTCCGTTTGCAAAGGTTAATCAGTTCTCATTAGTGGCAAACGATAGGTTTTGCTAATTACTCTCTTAATCGGAGAAGGGAAGCAAAATTTTCTCCCATTTGGAAAATTATAAAATACGCTGATTCAAAAACTGTATTCTAATGTTATACGGATATGAATAGAGTAAAGTTAGTCATTTTTTAGCATAAAATAAGTTTGTTGCAAAAAATATATCGTAGTCGTTATTGTTTTTAAAAAATCAAATTTTCTTTTCGTGAATTATATTTATGAAGATCATTTTACCACTTTTAGGGAATATTTTTTTCTCTTTGTTTCGTCATCTGATGACTAATTTAATTTGTTTTTTTGCTTTATCAACTATTAGAAGAGGATAAAGTTTAGTTTCTCAAAAAATGTCCTGTTAAATAATTTTAAATTAATTAGAATAATTGTAAATTCTAAAAAAATGTTTATTTGCATTATTTTATACAGCGTTTTGTTTTAATTTATGTTAGGTTTTTTGAATACTTTTCAAAAAAGTCTTTTTAACTTCATATGCAGCATTTCTAATATACAATTTTAAAATTACTTATGAGTAAATATCAAACATTTTAATGTCATCCGAGGATTATTTGTACTCTCGTTACAATAATTATCGTATTAAATTATTTCTGTTGAGTAGGAAAAAATGAGTCCCATGGCTCTCCTGAATGGATTATTATTAGATAAGGTTGCCATTTCAAAAATTGTCATTAATAATTGTCAGCCAGTAAAGCTTTGACAAGGTAAGAATATTTTATTCCCTTTTCCCGCTGTTATTGGCATAATTGTTTTAAAAATTCATTGTTTCAATGTTCTTTTAATTTTTTATGGTTAGATCAAAGTACATCTTTCAGTTTCATACTAAAATTTCTCCTTTTTAATTGAACCTGTCCAACTAAATTGACTTTCTCCTCTGTTACTCTTTTTTATTTATTAAACTGTATTTGCCTATATAATTTAATAAAAAGCAATTTTAATGATTTACAGTGTGGATTCGACTAGAGTATAAACTGTTTACTCTTTCAGGTAACTTATTTTTACACAAACGCTTTTGAACATTAGTAACATAGGGAAATATAATGCAGTTAATGTTTTACTTTATGTTCCAAATCAAATAAAAAATTGTACTGCTGTTCTGGACGAAAAACATTCAAATTGCATCTGAAACTTTTATAAGTAGTAATTTGAATATTTATCCTCTTAAAAAAATTGCTCTAAATGCCTCTGTGTTTTTGAAAATGACCCACATAACTCATGGGCAAAAGTTTAAGGGGACCACACAATGTGTGGCCAGGGAGCAAGGGGTGAGAGGTCATTGAAACATGAAGGAACGGAACGGAGGGACTAAATTAATTTTATTGAATGCATGTGCCGAAATATAATAAAAATTTCTCAAAAGAGTGATAATGTAGGCGTGCCTTATAAAACGGCTCACGCTGATTGATTTGCGTCAGCGTCAAATTAATTTAGTACCTGCTCCTCTATACGTTTGGTGTTTTGTTTTTTTATGTGACAGTAACGGATACCTTCTAGTGGTTCATCACTTGTTCTCCACAATTGTATTGCATGGTAAAAGCTGCTTATTTAGAGATTCTCCATCGCCCCTTAAATTTTTGTTCAGGAGTTTTGAAACACCCTGAATAACAATCGTCCGTATACGCTTTGTTAAAAGTGTATACTCTCTCTTCTCTTTTTTCGTTTCTTTTTCTTTCTTCTCTTTTATGATTTTCTTTTAAGAATGATATCTTAATTCATACTAAAATAGTTGATATTAAAATATGAATAATATTTTAGTTGTTTCTTTTTTCAACACCAAGTTAATAGTTTTTCTGGTTTAGGTAAAGATTACGAAGTTCATTTCTTGATATTCCAAAAACTCAGTATTGTACTCTACAGCGCAAAGACATTCTTTTGATGGGATAGATACAAAACAGTCAGTATCAGGAAATGTAATTGATGCCTATAGTTGCCAATAGTATATTGGTCTTGTTGAAGCTGGCGGTATTCCTTAGAGCAATATAACCAGTGGAAGACTATTCTGCCAGCAAACTTAATTCGGTAAAAAAATAAGTTGACTAGCAAGGCAAATTAGAGGAAATTTCAGAAATTTTTTTCTTTCAGGTTTCAGATCATTACAAATCAGTGATCCAGTTTGCAATAAAATTAATGGATTAATGATTTTTAAAGTTTTAGGGGTAAACAAGTTGCGTTGATGCATTTAATTTAAAGAATGTTTGAATTTATTTTTATAATTCTTTAATATTGTTTCGCTTATCACGCTGCGTCAAGGTCATCAAACGTTTAAGGCCTTTTTAATTTTTGAGGTTAGAGTGTCTTTTTGAATAACTAATACAGTGTCACGTTAAAAGAAAATCCGATCACTATATTAAAAGTTGCACTATTACAAACACTTTAGAATACACAAACTAATGCCAGTACAGTTATTTTACAGTTCAATCTACACAAATCGGTTTAAAGTTGAGCCATATATACATTAAATTATACTACTGAATTAAATTTGCTGCAACCGTTACTTGGGCAAACGGGTCTCAAATACCACCGTATGATTATTAAATTAAATTTCTAAGATTTTTTTTTTATTTTTAATTCTTTTCTAACTTATTTTTCAAGAGACACGTTTATTGCTAATTTTTTAAAATTAATCATAATGCAATATCAGATAATGCTTTTCTTTTAGACTAATATCTTATAAAAATTTTGCTAATATGAATAGACATAAAACTTATTCGAGATTGACGTGTTAAACTTAACAAAACAGAGACAATACAAATGTCACTAATTGAATTTTTAACCACTCATTTAGCTGACCGGAAATAGTTTAAGGTCTTTACTATTATTATTTATTTATTTATTTTGCGTGTAATTTATTTGTATATGAAAAGTAGGTATTCAATAATTAGGGAAATTCGAGGGCAACCAAATCAGTACTCTGCCCAAGGTCTCTACACTCTTAATCGAGCTGTAATATGATTTGAATCGAACCTTATTTCAGCTGAAATTAATCCATAATCAAGTTTTAATACTTCCACATCAATAAAGTTCCACTTTATTGAAGTTACAGGAGATTTACATAACATTGAAGTTCAACGCTCTCCAATATTTTTAAGAAATAAGTTTCCTCCATTCAAATGCGTTTTCACCGCATTGATGCTTGTGATAAGGAAGGTGAAAATATAACAGATTAGTATTTTAAAGTATACACAATATTGAACAAGGTGTTAAATAATAAGGGCTTTTAATATATTAATCATTAGTATCATTGTAAAAAATAAAATCATTAGAGTATCCAAATTAGGTGTCCGAAACGTTATCAACTGTTAATGAATTTCTAACATACTGTTTAAAGAATTTTGACGTTTTTTTTGTGCTGAGTGGGTTTGAACCGAAGACCTTTGGCCCTAGTAGGATGCTCTCACAACCACGAAGAAGGATCAGACCAGAGCAAAACTCTAAGTTAAGATACAACTGACTTATAATAAGCCCTTTACTTAAATTTTAATGTTTTGAAGCCACTTACCATCGGAACTTTGTCTTCTGACAGCTGAAGTATCCTTAGTAGGAGTTGTTGTTGGAGGCTGAATTTCTGTCATTAAATAACAAATATTAGGAATTTTGTATTTTAAATGATTTATTTCAATAAACAGAAAGAAAATATTTTAGATAGTATAAAAAATATACGTATGAATTTTTTTATCTTTAAAAATTCAATTCGGGAACATGGTTAGATTTGCCCTACACTGTTAGAAATTTTCGAACATGTCGAGCGAAAATATAGTTCAAACTTGCAGCAACTTAAACTTATGTAACCGGTTTTTCATAAGCCGGTATAGTTTTTTTTTAGCAAAAATTTTTTTCAGTAAGGTATTTTGCGTACTGTACATATATTTTTATTTAACCTGTGAGAAGGATACGTATTTCCACCTAGGTATCGAATTTCAGAGAGAGAAATATATAATAAAATGTAAGCGAATGTTAAAATCATGCTACTTTTTGGCTCATTTAAAGAATGCATTATTAATTTGAGGGCTCAATGTGGGCACAATCATAAGGTTCTACCTTTTTTGTAAATAATTTTTTTTATCCTTGGTCAGTCAAAAGAATATAGGTCAATACGGAATTTGTTGCTACATTTTCGCTAAAAAATGACGTGTAGGAAAATTCTTGTCGGCTTAGATGCAATAAGAAATGAAATCGAGTCGACGTTCGACGTTAAAGAGCAGGAAGGCAGTTCTCAAATCTATGAAAATTGCAAAAAAAAAGTAAATAAATAAATGAATTAAAAAATAAAAATAAATAAATGAATTAAAAATAGTGTAAAATAAATAAATAAATAAAAATGAAACAAGAAAATGTAAAGTAATTACTGCCTTATACACCTCCAGAGCATTACGATTTTTACGACTTATTCTCTGATTCTTGACTAAATATTCCTAAGAAAAACAAAATAAAATAAACCATTTTTTAATTTCTTTAAAGGAAAGTTTAATTTTAAATTTGAATGCGGAGGCTGAGTATAGCAACGGCAATGTCGTAAAATGAACGACATTATTTTTAGTTTAATATATTCATAATATTTAAGCGCTTATGCATAGATTTTTAATGAACGCATGTCATATGTCACGTAAATAATTAATAAATTTATAAAAGGCAGTGAAATATGTATTGGATTCATAAGATTCACTTTGAAACACAAATTCTCTAGCTTTAAGTGTAATATATCACTGTATTTTTTTGTATTTCACAAAAATAAGCCTCACAATAAGACTTTTAATATTAAGTGCACAGCAAACCTTTCATAGCGAAATGCTTAACTTGAAAAGCAAGGTAGCAAGAAATAACGTGGGCAAATTTAAGATCAAATATTTTTACGCATGATATTATAAACTCATTTTGAGGATGTTATTTTTCCTTGGTCACAAAACAAAAATGGACTTTCAGAATGAATTCTGCACTACAAGATAGATTTTCTTGATTATTTTGTAGCATTAGAATGGTCACCTTATTTGCCAGACTTGAAATAAGTGAATTTCTTCTTTCGGTCTATCTCAGAGATAAAAGATAAACCCCACAAGACTTTGATTTTCTCAAAAATAAAAATAAAAAAGCGTGCAAGGAATGGGCTCAGTATCAGTAGGCAGTTGCGTCCTATAGCTGAACATTTTGCAACACTTTTACAGATCTGCATTAAGACCAAAAGTGGTTACTTTGAAAGTTTGTAATAATGTTTCAGGTAGTTACATTAACATATTAATTTGAATGTTTGGTTAAGATATTTTAATAAGCATTAAAAGTTTGTGTTATATGTGTCCGAGTTATTTCCCGTCACTCTGTAATTACTCTTATCACTTGCGCACAAGTTTGACACATTTTAAATGTATTCATTTAAAATTACTAAACACTTAAGAGTAAAAACACAAGATGCACTTACCGTAAAGTCTAACAGCACTTTCAGTTGATCCCAAAGAATTTTTTGAGTAACACGTGTAGTCCCCATAATCATCTGGTTGCAGGTTCTTGATCGTGAGCCTTATATGAGTTTTGTAAGTTTTCGTGAGTTTGCTTGTAACTTCCAATTTCTCGTTAGAAATGATCATCTCTCCTGGTTTCTTTCCCCAATAGTTAATTGAATTGGGATAAGCTTCTGTATGGCAATCTAAAGTTACATCGCGCCCAAGAGGTGCACCAATCAATTGGTTAGGAATCCAGAGTACTGGAGGAACTGAAAAGTACAAAGAGATGTACAAAGATGCGATTGCTTTGAAAGAGTCGGTGTTACTTCATAAAAGTAATTTTTTAGTAAGGTGATGCCAAAATATACTATCTTAATCGATTGAGAAAATATTGCGCTTTCCTTTAAATATAAACAGCAACATTAATAAAGAATCGATTTCGGTACTATGAAAAAGCACCTTCATCCGCTCCGAAAGTATTTCTATATAGTACCAAACTTTTTCTGTAATTAATATCTTTTTTAGTCATTTTTTTAACTTGGCACTGATGAAGATTTATTTTATTAAGGTTACCTTACTTAATTATAGGTTACCTTACTACTATTGTCCCGCAGTGGACTGATCGTTAAGACACGGTTCCCAGCAGATCAGCGAAGTCAAGCATCCCTGACTGTGGTCAGTGTGCGGGTGGGTGACCAATTGGATCATTCTGCTTAGGGACCGAGGGTGTGCGGTATTGGTCCTCGTTAAGCTGTTCTACCGTAAAGTGCTTGACTTCGCGTGCAGGTCGTTAGGCTACCGAAGAGGGGGTGCCATCCCCTCTGAAGAGGATCAAAATTGTGATGGCATGTCTTCGAAACATCCTCAGGGACAGTCACCAATAGCCCATTGTGCAGATCTAGTTTCAACGTAAATGAATACAACTACAACTACCTTACTACTATAATGTTACGGTTGCCTTACTTTAATGGTAATTTTGAAGACTGTTATGCGCGAAATATCTGTAATCTTCGGAAAAGCAGAGTAACTTGTGGAATTGAACAGAAAAACGAAAATTTAACGTGTTTTTGTCAATTAGTCCAGTTATAAGCAGTTAAAACTGTTCTTTAATTCACATTATTTTGGTTATCAAGATGGTTTTCCCNACTTCGCGTGCAGGTCGTCGGGCTACCGAAGCGGGGGTGCCATTCCCTCTGCAGAGGATCAAAATTGTGATGGCATGCATTCGGATCATCCCTATGGATGTTTCCCAGACCGTCGCCAATAGCCCATTGTGCAGATCTAGTGCAGATCTAGTACCTTACTACTATAATGTTAAGGTTGCCTTACTTAAATGGTAATTTTGAAGACTGTTATGCTCGAAATATCTGTAACCTTCGGAAAAGCAGAGTAACTTGTGGAATTGAACAGAAAAACGAAAATTTAACGTGTTTTTGTCAATTAGTCCAGTTATAAGCAGTTAAAACTGTTCTTTAATTCACATTATTTTGGTTATCAAGATGGTTTTCCCTTTTCTGGGAAATTGAAATAAAAAGACTACTTTTTTGAAGAATGGCAAGTCATTTTTATTTTTTATTCTCAAAGCTTCAATCTTTAAAAAAACCTAAATCTTTGAAGAAATGGTTATAAATTTTTATTTTAAATCTGATTTTTAGTAACTTAGACTCTATTACGTTTATACAAGCATAATCAATCCAGGTTCAAATCATGGATAACTTGAGTATGCGCCAGTTGCTGTAAAATAAACTAAGACATGCATTTAAATAAAATAATTGCATTAAACGATTGAAAAATCTGTTTTTATCTCATAATTTTCTTATGATTTTTAAATAAAACAGATTTTAATATTTTCAATAGCTAATTTTCTTTGACGTAAAATATAAGAGACGATGGTTTATCATAAATAAAGCAATATCATCATAGATTTAGAGTTTTTTTTTTACCGTTTGGCATTTCTAAATTTTACTGATTGTTTCCAACTTTTTCAAATTAAACACAGTTTTCAGTTTATTTATTTATTTACTTTTTATAATTTCTGAGTTAGCTTCCAAGCATTTAATATTACTTATTATATAAGCAATATATTACTCTCTTCTAATATTGTGAATTGGGTATTAATGAGTTGCAATTAATATCCTATTTAAAGGAAAACAAATTTATTTTTCAAATTTTGATTCATGAATTGATTGAATCAATCTCTTTCACGTAGACAGAAATGCTGTTTCCCTAGAAAATTAATGATCAAACGCTTTATAAACCTGTATTATGTTATAAAGTTATGAGTCATGTATAAATTATTGAAACTTCTTTTGAATGATTTTTCCCAATCTTTTGTATCTTATCGGGAATAAAAATGAAAGCTATGTATATATGAATGCTATGTTCTGAAATGTTAATGAAAGCTATGTTCTATTCTAAACACATGCAATAAATTGACTTTTTGCAAATAAAGAGCTCACTCGCTAAAGTGGTGATCCAAATTCAAACACTGGTTAATGAGATGTACTGCACTGACCACAGTGCAAATGTAGAATACCCTCTGTGGTTTGTAAATCAAAGGATTGAATTTGATTTCTGTCAGGCTAACTGTAAATGGTTTTCCTCTCCATGTGACTCAAATGCGAGTAAATTTCACTCAAACCTCCACGAAGATGAGTGTCAGAAACAGGAGTTCTTTTGTCCTCAGAGTTGGGTCAGAAATACAAGGTTATGACTTTGAACATTGAAAGTTGCAAATCTAATATGGATCTGTGGTTCAACTTTTATTATAACAAAATTAAATAAAGTAGACAACTCATAGAGCAAGTTTATAACTTTGCATGGAATTTAATGAATTAATATATTGATGCACAAACTGTAAAGTATTAAACTGTTTTTACTATATATTAAATTTAAAATATATTATTAATGAACTATTTGTATATTAGAACATAGAGCAAGTAGGGTTAAAAAATTCTAAGCTTTTATCTGCAAATAGACGTAATCAATTTTTTAATTCAAATTATAAAAATAACTGTACTCGTACAATGTACATGCAGAATAATCCTCCGACTAACTGATGGGGGAACTCCATTAGCAGCTATGCAAAGGTAAGCTCCAGTGTGCAAGCGACTTACACGAGTAATACTCAATATTTCACCTTCATAAGTGACAGCATTTGGATCTGAAATAAAATAAAAACGTTACTTAAGAATAATATATAATAAATAAATCCATAAAAAGCGATGAAATAACAGAAAGAATGAAATAATATAAAGAAGTAAAATCTTCGAAAGAAAGAAGGGAAAAACAATAAAAGGGCATTTTTAAATAGTTCAATACAGGTTAGCAAAAATGACTAAATGTTTCCAAACTATAGAAAATTTTTTTCAATGACAAACGCTTGAAGTATGGTACAAAGTAAACCTGTAATTAAGTTCATTTCTCACGTTTTATAATTCTCAATATTTCACAAATGCACTTTTTAAATTCTTATAATGCTTTTGGAATCATAAACAGTGTTTAAGTATCACAAGGACGTGTCTAGGTATCACAAGGCCACTCCGGACCTTTCACAGCGAGATATTTTTTACGTGAAAGTCATCAAACTATAAAATGTAAGGTACGCGCACTGAACACTGAAAATACTTCCTTTAATTCTAATATAAGTAAATATTTAAAAAAAATTAATATCTGGTCATTCATTTGTATCAACCTTTGTATCATAGCTCATATATCATATTTGAATTAATAATGCAAAACAACGAGAATGAAGCCCAAATAAATGCATAAAAATGGACATACTATAGTTTCGGTTCTGTCGTTCCTCAGTGTCGAAATACAAAAGCGTTGTTTTGCGTTGATTTATTCATACAAAGCACAAATTATAGGGCAAAATTAACAGTCTCTATCGTCCTCAGGGTGACTAAATATAGAAATTTGGTGGTTAATCGCCATTTTTTTTTAACTCCAAAAGGTTACAAAACGAAACACGCTCTTCTCGTATTATTATTTATTACATCAAAAAGCTGTAGTCTTCTTTGGAACGTTATTTTACTCATGTTCAAAATTTCAAGGTGACTAAATTTGGAAAACTAGGGTTTCATTCAAGATAATTTCATTTTGCTTTTTTATTATTGGTAGCCAATTATATTGAAAAGTAATTTAATTAATATTGACACCTCACGTGTCGGAATGGCCGAGTGGCTAAAGACACAGACCTGGCAAGTCGGAGGTCGATCCTCCAAGTTCTCCCCGTTTCTAAAAAGACTTAAGAAGTATGAAAATATATATATTAGTTGTAAGGTTTTAGTTAATATTTATAGAAGTTTTATAAAGTGTTTTATTTATAAAGTGTTCTAGAAGTTCCTAGAACATTCTCTTACGTCATTTCAGCTTCCTGATTTCACTGTATATAAGTTCATGCGTTTCAAGTGGAAACGGCAATTACCATGTTCTGTGTATTTCAGGCATTTGTTAATAAATCTATTCTACTTGCCAGATTAAATTCTATTCTTTCTACGCGTCAATGTCATTATAATAACAATTATTATAAATTTATTTTGTAAAGAATAAATTTTAAGCTTGTTAATAAATTTTGTGTTGCATTATTGGTACCCCAAATTTTATTAGTTGTTGTTCTCGTCGATCGTTAAGGCAGAGGGAGTGCGATTTTTCTTGTTTTTCAGTGGTGCCATCTATGGCCAAGAATTCGACTTCTGCCACACTCATAAGCCACACCCGTTTATAAGGCGAACCCATTCCTACATCCATTCGTTCATTCATCCACAGATCGTAATTTTGACCTGAACCAAAGAACGACCATTCTCCAATTCAGTACCCCCAGAGGTGTAATCTGCTTAAGGGACATTGGAGGACTTTGTGATTCGACAGATTTAGCGTGCACCAGTCAGAATTTACTACACAGTGAGTTTTCGACCGGCTGGAATCGGACTCCCGTTCACACTAACGTGAGTCCAGAGTCCTGCCAACCAGGCTGTTCCGGCAAAATCTTATTAGTTGAAAACGTATTACGCAATAATATTCGACACAAACCTATTTGGAGAGGAAAAACTTTCTATATTTTAGAAATGAACCTAGTAGCGTTTCCCTAATTTTGAGAAATGGTTCAAAAGAAACGCTTTATATTAATAATAGATTTTTTTAAAAAAGTTTTTTAATTTTAGAAAAAGTGGCTAGTATCAAAAACGCTGGAGGTAACAAAATTTTTTAATTTTTTGCTTTAGCAGAAAGTCTTCGCTGGGATATTTGAGTTACCTGTGAATTTTTTTCCTTGCCATATTCCAAGGGGTATTGGTTCGTTATCCTCTCGCCTCCAAGTAATATTTGGAGTAGGATATCCCACTGCTTTACACGTAAGTGTAACGTTTGAACCTTCTCGAACAATAACATCACTACTACTGCCTTCTTCTAAGATATCAGGAGGAACTAGAATAGAAAAAATATTCTAATTATAACATTTATCTTTGCACCATATATTTTTTTCAAATGAGGGGTAGAGTGAAAGAAGGGTTTTTTGTAGCCAAATAATTAATCCTATAAGTGGGGGAGCAGTGTAAACCCTAAAAATTTTGACAAATTTTTATACTTTTTCAATCAGCAAGCTATTTAGATACAGAGTGTTTCGTAAGGACCGTCATTAATGTATGTTTTTAAAATCTGTATCAAAAATGAAAATGTATGCACAATGGAGATCCCAAATTAATGTTTATGCGAGGGAAAAAAAAACAAAAAAAAATGAAAACGTTATCAAAATCTGACAAATCACAGTACAGGGAGGCGAATGAGCTAAACAACAAGACAGATTTGATTGTGTGAGAAAATAAAAAGGAGTTGAAAACGATTATTAGATTACCGTTTGTAGAAATTCGAAATACACATAAATAAAAAAAAAAGATTACAAAATATAATTATGGCTTACTTTTCTTTTCCAATGTATCATCTTGCTTCAGTTCAGAATAAAACTATTTATAAATGCTTATTAAAAACAAATGGAGTTACATACCTTTTTATCTCATTGCCGCTTTTTAAAATGTACTTACCATTAAATATTTCCTCTATAGTCTCGGTTTTCAAAACTAGTTTCTTTTAATAAGTTTTTTTTTCAAACCATGAAAACAATTTATCAAAACATGTAAATCCAAATATGTATAATATTAATAAGTATGAAAAATTCGTCATTGGTTTAGATTAGAGAAACAAAGCCTTCTTTAGGCGAAACATCTAATTTCATGTATAATTAGGGCCGCAATGTTGTAATAGTAAATTAATTAATTAGCGGACGACATTTTCTAAAAATTAAGATTAGACTTTAAAATGTCATACAAAATTGATGAATTAACTTATTTTAAACATGGAATAATTTTGTTCAAAAATATTTGTTTTCTCTCTATAATTAGGATAATAGGAGACTACTTAATTCTCAGATATTTAAAACGAAGATAGGACAAGTCAAATTAATAACTGCGAGTAATAATAAATATGTGTTATTTTAGTTGAGGTAACAAATAATCCATAAACGGTTTTTTAGATCAAGTATTTTGGAAAAAACATGGCGTATATAATTCGAATTTGTTTCTATTCTGGATGGGTAGCTAAATTTTCTGAATTGTAAATTTTGATTTCAACAATATCACATGTACAATGTACATGCNTTATCCTGAAGTTTCTTATTCTTACTGCAATGAGCCTTGCATTATGCCTTTGAATAGAGAAACTTTGTTAAGTTAAAGAAAAATATAGCAATGAATGATATATTTATAATAAGATATAATAATATATGCATGTGCTAATTGCAATCAAAATTAAATAACTGATGCCAATCGGGCAGTGAACTATGTGTTTTCTTATTGCCTAAAAATATATGTGTTCATTGCAATAATCCTAAAAAGTGTTAGGTTGATTAAAAATACTGCAAACTTTCTTAATTAGCCAAGAGCATAGCAAATAAAAACGAGGTTTAAAAAAGAACTGAATTTCGCTATTAGCTTATGGCATATGCAAAATCAGTCCACTGACACTCTGTTCTCACTCTGTTGGGTAGAATTGAATTAAAGCTGGAAATCTTAGTTATTTTAAAATGCTGAAGAATTAAGGTTTATGGCCAGAAGGGTTGAGGATTATCATCACTTTAACTAATTCATCTAATTCTCAACCATTTGTATTTGGTCCGTAAACATTTGAGTTTTATGTATAAACGCGTCGTGGTTAAACTGAAAAACCAAAGCAAATCACTTTAATAATAACCTACAGATTAAGTATATGCAAACTATTCAAATGGAAAACATTTTATGACACGATTACTAATTATAAATGAGTCATGGTTAAACTGGCAAACAAAAAGTAAATCTTAGCCTACAGATTTATAGACAAATTATTGAAATATATAGCATTGCTGCTGAAATTTAAAGTTATAAATTTAGATTTGATTCAACAATTCACGATATAAACTCTTTTATCGATTCCCTCAGGTGAATCAAGAATTACTAAAGCCATAAATTTGGCTCCCTATTTCATTCGGAAGTATTGATAAACTATCTATGTGAATTAAGATACTTTTCTTGTTATTAATTTTATTTTTCTTTAAAGGTAAATTTCTTTTAATAACTATAATTATTTCATATTTTAATTTGTAAACTGATGTTGCTATTTCGCATGATCACGAACTTTTAAAAAAATAGGAACAAGTTTTTGTGAAGCTTCTTAGTAATATACATTTATGTAGAAAGTAAATAAAAGTTACATTAAACTATTCGACATAATTTTCAAAACAAAGTTTAGTTTTGAAATTCAAACAACAAAGGAAAAATAATAAATACTTTTTCGCTGTTTATTTCAGTTTTTAATGAGACATTAGATTCAAAAAGGTGATTTAAGTTTGCAAAATAAGGAAAACTATTAAAAAAAGGAAAAAGCATTATATGTTAAGAGTAAATATTTTATATGAACTCAAGAGAAAATTATCTGTAATAAAGATTGAAGATAAGTTTATAAAAATAATCTTTTTTCTAATTATAATAAATCTAAAAATAATCTCGAAAAATAATCTTTTCAGAAAGTACTATCATTTCTTAGAAGGCGTAATAACTAGCTTTTAGGAGAATTTCGCCTAGCTTTGTTTGAGGAATTCAAAGCATGAAGTAGGCATATTTATCCTTTTTCATATATGAATAGTTTTTAGTTAATATGAAACTAAATGCAGGAATAACGCATATGGAAATTTCATTATATTGGAACTAAGTAAAATTATTTTAAGAATAACTTTGTATTCTTCCTTTTGGCATATTTTTTCTCTTTCACATAAATAGCTTTTTTTCAATATATGGTTTAATGTAAGAATAACGAGTATATAAATTTCACAGGATTGGAATTAAGCAAAATTATTAAAAAAAATATTTGATATTTTTCCTTTTATATATGAGTAGTTTTTCTTTTCTTTTCAATATATAGCGTAATGCAAGAATAGCGAATATAGAAATTTCGAAAAGTTGAAACTAAGTAAAATTGTTAAAAAACTTTTAAATTTTTTCCTTTTAGAGTATTTTTTCTTTTTAATACATAAATAGCTTTTTTATTTCATTATATAGCTCAGTGCAAGAATAATGAATGTAAAAATTTTAAAATTTTGGAACAAGTTAAATTTTTAAAACAATAATCTTTTAAATTGTTAGAAAAATAAATGATTTTAAGAAAAAGTATTTAGTTAATAGAAGCAATCTTTTGCTTAATTCTTTAAGTTTAGCTTTGGATTTTTACGCTGCAAAAAAATAAAAAAATAAAAAAAATAACAAATTTAACCGATTACATAATTGTTTGTTAATTAATGATATAAGTTGTTGAATTTTATGAGCCACAGATAATTAATTAGTATCGCTCTCCTAACAAACGTAATTCGTAACTAATTCTCGTAACTAAATTTCTTATTATCTTAATAAATTATTTATTAAGAAAATGAGGATATTTTTTCGCTGTGTTTTGATAACACATACACAGTGTATGAAACGAGTTTTAAAATATGGAATCACGCTTATAATAGTATACTTCTCAAAGGATATCGATAATAAGTATTGTGACGGGAAAGAAAACAGTGAATTTTTTAAAAGCTTCAGTGATGTTCAAGATCCAGATGCGTTGTTGTTTTATTTGCAGTTTAAAAGTAACAAAAGCAAACTTATTTCTTGAAACTAAAAGTGGTTAAAAAATTACATCTAAGGAATAAACTAGGTCCTCAAAGGAAATACAATTTAGTCCAATATTCTCAGGTAACTAATATTCTCAGGTAAAGTAAACTTTTCAGAAATGTGTAAATGAACTTTTTATTTAGCTACTACTTGCGCTTTGTCTGCCACATAATTAAAATGATTTTAAATTATGTGGCAGACAAAGAAATACAGTTAAGTCAAATTTTCAAAAGAAATACAATTTAGATTAGTGAAATTGACTAAATTGCATTTCTAAAGAAATACAATTTAGTCAAATTTTCAAAAGAAATACAATTTAATTTAGTAAAATTGACTAAATTGCATTTCAAAAGAAATACAATTTAGTCAAATTTTCTCAGGTTTATTTAGAGTAAACTTTTCAGAAATGTGTAAATGAACTTTTTATTTAGCTACTACTTGCGCTTTGTCTGCCACATAATTAAAATGATTTTAAATTATGTGGCAGACAAAGAAATACAATTTAGTCAAATTTTCAAAAGAAATACAATTTAGTTTAGTATAATTGACTAAATTGTATTTCAAAAGAAATACAATTTAGTCAAATTTTCTCAGGTATATTTGAAGTAAACTTTTTAAAAATGTGTAAATGAACTTTTTTACTTAGCTACTACTCGCGCTTTGTCTGCCACATAATTAAAATGATTTTAAAATTTTTACATTAGCATCGAAGCGAAGTAGAAAAATAAGTAGATCAACGAAAGTATTGTATATCATTATTATTATTACTACTATTACTAATAATAAAAAGATAGTTTTTTCAAATTTTCAAAAGATTGGTAGAAAATTAACAATAAAATAAAAAAAAAGCCTATGTGCTTTCAAAAGATAGATTTTAACAAAATATTAAATTTTCAAATATCTCATAAACGAAATATTGCGTATTATTTAATTAATTTCAAAATTATCAGCCTCGGAATATACATCTTCCTGAAATAATGGTACAATTTTTACTTAAAAATACGCAAGTAATAAATGATAAAATATTTTTTTTTAAACCTTAAACTTATTTGACGGTTTTAAGTAAATTTAAATTATTTCATAAAAAAATAGTAGCTTAATTTTTAGCATTTTTTCAGTATTGTAGGATATTTCTATAGTGTATTTCTTCACATCTTGTTAGTGAGATAAAATTCATTAGTTTCAAATAATTGTGATATTTATAAGATATACTTGAATCAGTTACTTGAATCGAATTTCTTACCTTTCTTATAATTTTTCTAAGTAGATTGAAACTCCGGCTAACGTGAGGTAAATCCGAGTGTAATTTTAGATAAATACTCGCTTTGTAGAAACATACAACCAAAAAAATTATTTTAAAGCATTATTTGCTTAGTGATAAAATTGTACCGAATGTTGTCTTAATATATTGGGCTCTAGGTTTCAAAAGGATATTTACCATGTTGTTTCTTATTTACTTGACATTGAATTTATATGATAGCATTTTATCACTGTATAAAAGTATTTACTAAAAATAGAATTGAAAAGAAAAATGGTCGTGGGATATATGGTCAAAAATTGCGTGACTGCAGATAGTAAAATAAAATCTTAGATGGTATCATAGAACAAAATATTATGCAGATAAAATATCATGACCAGAACAAGGATGAAACCAGAACCAGAACCTTTTAACCAGAACATGGATGAAAATAAGTAATGGGGAGTTTTCTTCTGTTTTTTTTATCGACACTTACTACTTTTATTGACATTTATTAATTTTATTTATTTTATTGAAAAATAATAAGATCAAAAATACTATAACTTATAAAAAATTCAAGATAGAACATTTTTGAAAATGTAATCAAATGTTTCATTGGTAAACACTGTTTGTAAATAAAAAACTTCTCGCATTGACAGTTAAACAAATGTCAAAGCTTTGAAAAGATTCTAAAAATCCAGGAATCAATGAAGAATGAATAATGTAGAGGTATTTAAAGGTATAAAGATAGATAAAAATTCATGATATGTTGCTTCATAGTTTCGAATGCTCACTGTTTCTGAAATTTGCATTTTAGTTCCATAAAAGAGAAAATTCTTCCCGCTAAGTTTTCATCCCTTTGCGAAACAAAATTCCATCAAGTTGTCATAATGGCAAAGTGGTTTATGTTAATATAACTTTCTATTACTTGTAAAAAATTGGTGATATAAAACTAATTTTAAGCTTTAATGGTCTCAAACTAAGAAACTATTATTGATATGGTATCATAAACTAAGTAGCATTTAATAGATCAAAATTTTTTTTATTAATTTTTTGGAACATCAAAGTAGGTAACGAAAACTACATAAAATTTAAAAAAATGATTGAGTAATGAAATTAATGTATCGATGTTTTTATTATAAAATACACTGTTTTTAATGAAATGAAAAAAGGAAATAGTTATTAAGGATTTGGATAAAATAGTCAAAAAAATATTGTTTTTAAATACAATGAATTAGTTGCCTTATTGAATCTAAAATCAGAAATAATTTTCAGTAATAGATTCATCTGAAATATTGGCGTTTTTATGCCAGTCTGTCATTTTTAATTAATTTTTTTGAGGTTTAAAGTTTAACAGTCTTATATGTATTAAGTGTAGAAGTAATATTTTTTTTATTTAACTAAACCTGACCTTTTATAAATTTGGAGTATAGATTAAATAAATTAAGAAATCAAAATTTTATTCAAAAAGAGTTTTTATTTGCACGTAGAACAATATTTTTAAACTAATATTAGGAAAAAAGTTATTATTGGAGCATAGTGGTATAAATTATAGGACAAAATTAATGGTCATCACCGGCTACAGGGAGACTAAATGTAACAAATGGCAATTAAATAGTTGTCTGCCAATCGCCATCAAATCACCACTTTTTTCATGCAATTCTAATAAATATTTTATAATATTCTGAAAAAATTTTTACGTCACTCTTGTTTTTTAAATTTTTTCTTCATTTTAGAAAAAAAAATCTTGTTTACTATATTTTGAGAAATGCTTCAATAGAAATGCTTCATTATTAATATCAACAGCTTTTTGTAATCGCTTGAAATATTCAAATTTTGTAAAAATAGTTGCGTTTTTAAAAAGAGGCTATTGTTAAAAATGCTACTACTGGCCTCTGACCGGTAGCAAAATTTTCTAATTTTGCTCGATAGTATAAACCCTGAGTAAAGTTGTATATTTTATTTTTTTTAATAGTTTTTATCCTTTAAATTGAAGTAAAATATATCTAACTATTTACAAAATATAATTTTATATTTTACTGACCAATAAATATTTTTTTTAATATTTAGCATAAACTGATCTCGTTTGGATATTTTGAATCAAAAAATGTTATGACTATTTTCTTGCTCATACTTAAGTTTGAGTTCATAATTTGTAATAGAATAAATATGTTACTCACCTAATACATCAAGATATCCTATCTGACTTTTCATTGGCACAGTATTCACTTGGCACATGTAACCACCTTTGTCCGATTCTCGAACATTGCGGATTTGAAGAATAAAATTCCTGTTATCACTATGGCTGAGGCTGATGCGATAGTTTCGAGTAATAATGTGATGATAAATAGTTAATATTGCTTTCGTTTCCACTTTGATCCAAGCTGCCTAAAGAAAAAATTATTTAAATATCTTTAGTAAGGGAAAATTTTTGAAAAAGTAAAAATTTCAGAGAGATCTATACTCATAGTTATTTTTTCATATTTCTCAAGAAATACTTGGAGAATTGTTTTAAAACTTTACAAGTGTTTAGGTCATTCGATTTCTGAAACATATCAATAAAGTTTGAAGCTTTTAGGAAATGATACTAAAATGTTTTCGAGTATGTGCAGTATGAAAAGATTACTTTTAATACTCAAATCTTGTGCAATTTTTAAATTTTTTTTTTTCAAATCTGAAAATTATATTTTTATTATTAGTTAAAAATTATTCTTATGTTTGCGAAATTTTGTGCAGTTATTGCATATAATAACCTACGTAATTGACACAAGTTACAAACTTATCGCTAAATAGTTTGGCATAGGGTGTTCAAAAAACATTATTTTTCGTTCGTAAGTTATTGCCTGCCCTCAAACCTCTAAAATCCTTAAAATTAATTGATATGCATGAGAAATCGCATGGTCTGAACATTCCTTAAGTTTTAAAATAATTCTCTAATCATTTCTTGAGAAATATGGATTATTATAGAAGTGTTTCCACTATTTTATATAACCCCTGCATATTCTAATTAATATTATATGACAAATAATTTCTGAACAGTTTTGACATCATATCACAAAATCTAATTGTTTTATAAGAATAATCTTTCGTCTTTTTGGCCGCCCAGTCTGCGTGGAGGGGTGGCCTACCACGGATCGAGCAAGTTTCGATTCTCCATTGGACTGCTTGACTACAATTTTTCCGACTGTGTCTCAGTGGTTTGGTTCGGAATCCACTCTAATGGTCCCCAGCTGTTTCAGAGGCTGAAAAAAACGCACGGTTGGGGAGCGTGGTGAGGAGGTAAATGATTACTACAACAATCTCTTTTCTGATCGAAGTTGCAGTAGTGTAATGTGCAGATGTGACGGATCAACATTAAGAATAAATTCCAGACCATGACTAATAGTGCATAAGCACTTGTGAGACGTTAACGACAAAACAAATTAAATTGTCTTTGGGAAATTTTTAGTTTCTCGTATTATTTATGATTCATAACAGAAAATCTAAAAATTAAGACGTTTCATTTATAGATTGCAAAAGCTAATACGCTACTTATTGCAAATATTTGAAATCCATCATTTTTACAAATACACTGGTGTGCAAAAACTAAAGACGAAATGGAAAAACTAGCATAACAACAAAACAGGTAGTTACAACAAAGGGAAAGGTCATTGAGAAGACCAATCACCGTAAGATAAAGTAGATACTATATGCACCATGACGTACTGGAGGGCTTATCATAAGGAAATAAAACGAACTGGCGGTGTAAGTTCAGTATTTATGTGAATGGTATCGAGTGGTATACGCCAGTTTAAACGAAGTGAATTTGTTGTCATAGTGTTATATGGCCAACGGACAACACAGAAGACGAGATCTGGATCAGTTTACGCGAGGTCGAATCAATGGGAAGTTGGAAGAAGTTCGTTGTGTGACCAGTGTGGCTGCGGAGTTCGGGATCACCCACAGTATCGCGTCACAAGCTTGGAACACATTTCAGAGGACAAAACAGTTAGGAGGTTTAGTAGAGGTCACCCTCTCACAACCACGACAGGACCGGTATAAAGTCCTACAGGCTCAAAGGAACAGATGTAAAATAAACAATATTTTTAAAATTCTATTTCTCGGTAACTATGTAACCAATTTCGCACAAATTTCACATTCTGCCATGTAAAATAACGTATTTTAAATTAATGTAAAAAATTATATACCTTAAAATTCAAAATTTTTTTGACTATTACAAAATAAAATAATAAAAAATCATAAATATACATCAAAATTCCTTTTTGCATAGAATTATCTTTGGATAATTGAATTTTATAAGTGCAAAATTTATTAAATTAATGTGTGCAAAAATGTTTTAATTCGCTTAAAAAGTTCTTGAGATATGGCGAAATACGCAAAAAGTAAAATTTGAACCATTCTCCTGACCAGACTATGGGTACTATATTTCTAAGATTGCATCTATCCCTTATATTTTTCGGGTCAAAACCCCGAATTCGTTGGAAACAAGGTATGTTTATTCAGAGAAAGTACGTTTTAGTGTCTGATTTCGTAACTTAAAATGTCGTCTGCACTAATTAGCATATTTGAGGACCCCCCTCCTCGAACCCTTAGCAATGAGTCCTAGAACGTAAAAATCCGACCATTAGATCTAAAGTTATTCAGGGAGGTCCGTTTTTAATTTTGCGCAGTGTACAACTGAACTCAACTATTATAAGAACAAAGGTGTTTGCCGGTTTTAGTTTCACAACCATACATTGCCAATGTTATATATATTTTTCTCATTAGTGTAATTACGTAATAGAATAAATTAATTAAGAGATTAATTAATTATACAATAACAGAGGACATTAATACTTCTTAATGTATGAATTCTTACCAGAACAGCCAAATAACGAAATTAATAAGTTGTGCCACTGCAGAACAGTAAAACAAAAAATAACCAGTGTTGCCACCATCAAAAACTACTATTTATAATAAAACCAAAACTAAAACCGCATCTATTTGAGGGCAGAAATAGACAGTCTTTGCTGTACTTCCGGAAAAAAGAACTAAGTAGGGAGTTTGGTAAGGCGGGAGATTGATATTGCTTTCGCCTCACCTAATGATCTGAATGAAAAAAAATCTTCTTACTACTATCCTTATTTCTTATAAAAATAAATAAATCAAATTTTTTAAAGAAACAATCATTCACCTTCTGAATTCGAAACTATTCTCTGATAAAAAAAAAATCTATTGCTGGATGCAATTTATGAATAAAAACATGAAGTTGAAACACACATTAAGGACGTTTTCTTTTTACACGTTTCCTGTTTAATTTCAAACAAAGTAGTTCATAATAAGTCTTTTTTTTTAAAGGGATTTTATGTTTAGGGGCATGATTATATTCCTCCTGATGGTTATGTTCACAGAAATATTACTTCTCTTTTTAGAAGCACAGTGAAAGTCGTAGTAATTTATTTTCAGAATAAAGAAATCCTCCAGAATTCAAAAAAGGTCACTTTCAAATTAAATTTATCAATAACTGTTACTGCTGTAGCCTTTTGTTTCTTTTTCCAGTGGATAAAAATAAGAAGAGCTTTTTATAACATTCAATACAACTGCATTGCCGCTATGATAAGTTTAGCTATCTAGAAATTTAGTTATTAATTTTTCTCATTAAAATTGACACATTTGTTTTTAAGCTCATTTAGTAATATTTTACAATTTCAAAACTAATTAAAAATGTATGATTAAAGTTAAGAAAGTAAAGACAACAGTATGAAAATTAATTGGAGTAAATAATGATAAGTCTGCTGCCTGAAAGATTTTAATAGAAATGTAAGCACACAAATATTCATCATTTCAATTAAGTTGGGATAATTTCTATTTATTGAAAACCCTAGATGAAACAGTCAATTTAAATATCGTTCAGTATTTTAAATGTGAATATTTTTTGAAATATATTTATTATTAGTTTAAAGAAAATCGCCAACTATTACTTTTGAACATTTTGAAATCACGTGTTTAGCTACTATTAACCTAATTTGGAATTAAAATAAATGATCGTAGCAAAACATTTATAATAACAATTAGATATAATTTACTGTTTTTCAAAACTAAGCTCATAAATATTGCCAGAAGATATATAAATTCACGAAATTATTCTGAATAATTATGAAAAGAGTTTTAAAATTGAAATCCCAATGATTGTTATGTTTTTTTTGTTGTTAAAATTTAATTTTAGTATCTTACTATTAATAAAGCATGACTTTGTGTGTGAGAGCTACGAATTTATTTAGATTAAAACTGTTCTGAAAGAAAAGAACAAACTAAAACACATTTATAAATAATATTTCTAAGCACAGTATATTTTTGCAATCAATAAATTTTAGTTAAAGGTTTTATTTCTTTCATTTTCTTTTTCATCTTCGGTTTTTTTCAACCTTAGAGTTTCACATATATTCTGCATCAAATAATATGATTTGTATTTTTAAGTTGATATAATTGATTCATTTACATTATTTTATACTGTTGTATTAAGTAGTTATTTAAAGAATAATTAATTTTAGTGTTAGAATAGCTGAATTAAAATTTTATTTCTTTAACAATTTTTTGTTTGTTTTAAAGAGGACTGAGTTGCTTTCTTATTTGTATCTAATCTATATGAAAAGAAGGTTATTAAAATTTTGTAAGCAACGTTTCTGTCAAATAAAATTCTAATGAATGGTATAGGATATTATATTTTTATTGCAAAAATATTTAATATAAGGTTTTAAAATCATGCAAATGCATTTTTTAAAATATTCGTTTTAGTCACGATAATATAATTGCATTTATTCTAAACATCAACTTGAGTAAAATTACGATAGTAAAAGTAATTTTTTAAAATTTTTTAAAGTTTTTTTTAAAAATTTCTTAGGAGTGGAGCATCAAACATTTAGTTTACTCTCTATCGAAGAATAAATGGTCCTCTATCCTACCGGATCTGAACCAGCCTCGTCAAAAAAGGAAAAGGTGGTATTGTTCTAAATCATTTATTGTGAGGATACTTAAAGGTTGTTACTTAAATTTAATGCAAAAACTTTTTGCATGGTTTTTGTTGCATTACTGTAATACAAATTTGAAAGTGTATTAGAACTTATTGGTCACCAGCTTATTGGATCATGCGAACTTATTGGTAGATTATAATGTAATTGGTGTTATTATAATGTAAAAAATTCCGTATTTAATTTTTGACTTTACCATACTAAATTTATTTTGGCGTTTTGATGCAATTTTAAAAAAATGAAACAAACAAAAAAATATTTGTCAAAGGCATAAATGTAAGTTGAAATCTATAACTTGTAAAAGAAACTAGGAAGAGTAAAAGTTGTTCATTAGATATAGAGTTTAATATCTAATCATTTGCTTCCTAAGATATTGTAAAAACTTTAAAAAGATATAGATAGATAAAAAGAGATAAAGGTAAGAAAATATTTTGAAATCGTATTTTTTTGCGACATTTAAGAAATTTTACTATGTTTTTGAATATATTTTGCGATTTGATTATTATTAAATAGCGTCAAAGTATGACGTGAAATACGCTTAAATTTATTTATTCCATAAATATCAAACATTTAATAACGATATTGAAGTATTAATTTAATAAAAGGGAGATAAAATTTTAAAAAAATCGAAAACGTATGAAAGAAAAAGAAAATAAAAAGGGTTAAAAAATCTTTTTTGAAGCAAGTAGTGGTAACTGATTTCTAAATTAATTAACTGCAAAATATTTTTTTGAAAGTTCTTGAAATCATTAAAATTAAGGGTTTATTATTTTTCCTAACAAAATTATTTTTTTTTTGTTTAGGCTAACGGTGCTCTCCAATTCAATTATTTATTTTTTAAAATAGAAATTGATTCAACTTGAATTAAATTCCCACAGTGTCATCTGTTGTTCCTGTTTAATACAGTAGCTTTTGTGCCATAAAACACTTCACGCCATGTTGCATCGAAACTTATTTCCACAGTATTGTCTGCAAGTTTTGTTACGAAAAATGTGTTCTGGTACGTATGTGAACTACCGTTAAATATGACCTTATGCAAAAATTTTTGCCTCTTCTGATACATTTAATTATCACATTGTTCGGACGCATATGATAGATTAACTTTTGTAAATTGCGACACCAAACAGATGGCATCATTATATATGCCCTGCATATCAAAGCAGAGCTAAAATACTTGTGAGATGTAACAATTTCAGACTTTGTGCTTTGTTTCATTATTATTTTTTTAAATATTTGAAACATCGGAAACAATAATATATTATAAAGAATCGTAAATTGTGAGAATTATTTTTACACTTCGTTAACGCTTACCGCTAATAAATATGCTTATTACTTACTCTGTAAGTTCCGAGATTTTCTACTGTACAGCTTAACTGCGCGTCTCTACCAGCTGCAACTGTAACATTTTCAATAGGTTCGGCAAACTCCGGTTCAGGTTCAACTAAATAATCTGAAATTGTAAGTAAATAATATATGTATGAATTTCGAAGTTTCAGGTTTGCTAGAATATACAGAGTATTACTTTATAACAATCCTGAATACATACTTTGAAAAAAAAAACTGAAAAATACTATTTTTGGTCAAAATTTCAGTAAAAATGCATAAAAAGTTCTGACCAATCACTATTGAAATTAATAAGTGCAATGTTAGGTTTAAAACAATCTAAAACCCACTTCTTTGAAGCTTAAAGAGAATTCCAATATTAGATTCAAACAGTGTTATACATCGCATGCAAAAAAATATAGCAATAAGATTATAACTTGTACCAACCCTTTTAGTTATAATATGCAATAACTGCACAAAATTTCTTATACCTATCTTAAATATTCATGGAAATAAGGACATTTTTATAAAAAAAACTTATATTTTTGCCTTACGCTTTCTTACTATAACTACAGAAATATTCATTAAACCAGACCAGCGTATTTTTTAATTAATATCAAAAGTATTATTTTATAATTTGAAACAGAAATTCTTAGAAATTTTGCAAGATATAAGTATTTAAAGTAATCCTTTCATACTGGCGCACGAGCGAAAAACATCATTTTATTTTCATAATTATGTTCTGAATCGTATTTTATAACTCATGAAAAGAGTCCGATTTGAATATCTTGAAAATGTAAAAAGTTTCTCGCAATTTTCTCAGTAGCATTTGTACTTTTTTTTAAAGAAAGATTTAACTGATAAGGGGTTTTCATAAATTTCCTTTTGTATCATTTAACAAAATTTAATAACAAAAGATATTACCCTACAAAATGGTCCAGACAACAAAATGTGTTGATATAAGGAAAGAAAACATATGAAATAAAATATATTGTAGCAGGGGATGGTCCCATAGAATGCCGATGTCATTTTTAATAAATCTGAGTCAATAGTACAATATAAAATTTGCAGAATACCCAAAGTCTTGCCAAATTTACAAAAACTACTTGGAAAATTGCTAGGAGCTTCTTAAATATTCAAGATATTCAAATAGGATTTTTTTCATACATAACTAAACACGATTCAGAGTAAAATTATGGAAAAATATTTTTAAATGCTTCCTGCCCATGAACAGTATGAAATCATATCTTGCTCAATTTTTAAAATTTTTTTTTCCAAAATTTGAAAATGATATTTTCTTATTAATTAAACATTATTCTTAATTGAATGAAAACTTTTTCCTTATTTTATATTTATAATTCGAACATTAAAAATAAAATAAAGAAAAAAATAATGAAAAATAGAAAAAAAATTATAACGAAAAGATATGATCTTGTCATCAACTCACACGATTAAAGAGCTTTCTGATATTGTATTAATGAAGCCAAAGCAAAATATATCAATACAGTAGTGTTAGGTCAAAATAAACACAAAAAAGAACATATAAAGGGAGAAAAACGTCATTTACTTACTATTAACTTGCAAAACTGATTTAAAAATATTTCCAAAACTGAGTGTCAGATTACAAAATATGAAATTAAAGTGTAATAGATCATTGTGCAGCTCTAGTGCGACGTAAATGAACTACAACTACAACTAAAGTGTAATAGAGGGTAGTGGAATATATTTTTTTAGGCGCGTTCTTACTGAAGTTAAGAACCGCATTTGAGTTGTCTGCCACCTTAAATTGATCCGAAAACAATATTTGCACTAGGTAATAACATATTATACTGGGTAAAACAAAAATTACAGAATTATATAAAAGGTTGAATTTTAGGCTCAATACTTCAATCCAATGACTTTTGTAACTATTATTACTATTTATTGGGTAATATTTACTACTTAATTCAATTTTGGAAGAAGTTGCAGGTTTGTAATAAAATTTTGAAATATTTACGGCATAGTACTGATCTTATTTTTATCTTTGGTTGCCACAAATTTGCCTGAATTGGATTTTCACATGAAAACAAATATATCAAATTAAAGAACTGAAAGTTTTTTTTATATAATTCTAATCATTTGTTAATTTTAATGCATAATTCAATCAATGATTTCGCATAATAATTATAGAATTTAATAACATTTGTTGGATAATAGTTCTTTTGATTCAAATTTTGGAAAAGTATTTCTATTTGCTTTTTGGATACATAAATATTACTAAAAATTCTTCTAATTCTATTGACTATAAATAGTATTTAAGTAAATGTAAATAAAAACATTATAATTTCTTGTAGTTACATATTTATATTAAATTTAAAATCTATCCTTTTGTCGTATTCAACAAGGTAGGTATTTTTTTTAAATATTTAAACACAAAAAATTAAAATTAATGTTATAACCATGATTACGAAGCATTATTAGTTGCTCGGGTTAAATATTATTCAACAACATTATATAGTTTTGAAAATTAAAGTTCATCAATAAATCTAAAAACATCAATAAGTCTAAATATAAAATTATCAATAAATCTAAAAACAAATTTGATATTTAGTGCATAATTTTTTCATAATAGTGTAAAAATAAGATATCCAGAAGTGACAAAAATTAAGAACCTTGTGACATTCCACCTATTGAATAAATTTTCTTTATTATAAAGATACAGTAACGCACATTATTCAGAATTTCTAGACAATCAAAACTCAAAATCACACAAATTACTATTTAGGATATTTTGAATATATATATACTAGGGGGCACCGCCCCCTGCTCGCTACGCTCGCCAACCCCCAGAACTGCTTCGCAGTTCCATTGCATATTGCTTCGCAATCTTATAAAAACATTTTAACAAATTTAAATTTTAAAATAAAAATGCCAGATATTGAAATCAATTACTTAATGAAATTTATACACTTCTCTGCCCCCTTNTCTTCGCTAACTGCTCCTAAATTTTCAGGGAAAAAGTTCACCTGTGAGTGAAGGAAATGCATTTTTACACTCATGGAGCAACCCAACGTTTTAAATTTGTCCAGCATTTTCATTACAATTTCCTTATAATCAGGATCCTTGTAGTTACCCAGAAATTTACTGACGGCATTTTTGAAGGCAACCCAAGCTTTTTTTCCATTGTTGTCATGTTAGTCTCAAAATCTTTATCCTTCACGAGTTTGCCGATAACTGGGCCAACGAAAACTCAGCTTGATATAAAACTTTATGCATAGGTATTTGAATCGATCGACATTTTTTGGAACAGCCTTGACAAACTGTTTCATTGCACCTAATTTAATATTTTGAGGGAAAAACAATACTTTTTTTCTGATCAACTAATCTGTTTCGAATAACGTTCTTAGTGTCTGGGTCAACATTTTGTCTTTTCGGCCATTCTTTTGTGACCCTATGCTGAGTATTGTCATGGCTGTCCCACTCACAAATGAAACATGGGAACCTAGTAAATCCACCTAGTTGACCAAGAACATGGAAATAATTTTCAAATCTCCGCAAATGGTCCAACTGCGGTCTCTTCTTCATCAAAGTACTTAATAAATTATTTTTTCTCGATTCCTGTACCAATAAAAAGATGTTCCTTTGGCCAATAAGTTTTATCTTTCAGTCTGGAGCCTAACAGTTCAGCTGCCTCTTTCAAAAGGCCCAGATCTCTTGTCAGATCATTAAGTTCAACCTGAGAGAAGGGTTGAGGTGAGCCGGTTACAAGTGGTTTATATTCGATATTAGAGACTGGAACTTCTGGATGTTCCGAGTCTGAAGACTCTGAACAGATGACTGGCAATTCAGTTGGAGGCAAAGGTACAGATGCAGCAAGACAATGAGAAACGGGGCATATGGCCGATGGAATATTATCAGGATAAGATTTTAGCCTTTGATTTTTCCGGTTATACCCACGAACATGGCAGGAACAAAAATAACAATAATCAAAGTAGTTTTTAGGCTCCATGTCATGGGAATTGCAAATCGTGAAACAGTCTTCTTTCCTCAAGGCCATAAGCGTAGATTATTGAGACACTCCACACAAACTTTATGAGGAGCCCACGATTTGTCCTGGTCTCCGAGTTTCATGCCAAAAAACGATTTTTAACAACACTGTATTCGCCTCATATGTAACAAATGTCATCTAGGAAATTTTCACAAGGTTTTCAAATTCGAAGCCATGTTTCACGAAGCGCACAGAGAAAAGCAGACGTTAAAAATGCTTCCAAAAAAAAAAGACTTCCGATTACGCTTGTTAGTGTTCCTGAGAGGTCAGAGAACCAAGATAAGAATTCTCGCCACGCTATTGGTAGAGCTAGATTGTGACAGAGAGAGGGACAGTGACAGGAAGATGTCATAGAGGGGTAGTTTTGTAGATTTAGCCAACGTAGAATGCTAATCAGGCAAGAAATTTAAAATAAATTTTTTTTTTATGGTAAATGTTCATAAAAATTCCAATAAAACTGAATTTTTCAAGAGAATGTGACGTAATAGAAATTTTTCATTACTTTTTTTTCATTTCAGCACCAAAAAGTGCATAAAGTTCAGCTATCAGTCCCCTTGTATTTTTTTCATCGCAGGACTGTGTTTATGTATAACTAAATTAAGAGAAAATCCTTTTATTAAAACTTATTCTGAAACCTTATTAAAATTTTCGTAACAATTTAAACGCATTTTGACAAAAAACTACAATTTCAAACATTAAGTTTGTTATTTAATGTTAACAAGATTTTAAGTATGAAATAAATTTAGTTTTAAAGCAAATGAAACAAATTTCATTTTAATTTTAAATTTATGATTCGTAAAAAATTGAATAAACCTACAGTTTTTTCCTTTAGGACACAAAAATAAATAGAAATCAGGATATAAATAATCAGGAAATTAATTTAAACATCGTCGGTCGGTGTTATTTTTAAATGCTTTTATTAAACTCCGAGTTACCTTATTTCAATTCCAACTACAGCGAACGAATCTATAATTTTTTGTTATTGATATTTTAGACAAGAGTTTTAAAAATATACAGCAAGACGATCTTTAAAATGTCGTTTAATTAACACTGAGATTTAAATTATTACTACTTGTACTTTAATTGACTTTAGAAGAATT